GCCCACCAGGGGCTCTGTACTCGGTGGTCGTTGCGGCTTTTTCATCTAGCTCTCACCAAACTCCCGAACGCATTGTGGTTCTGAGCATTTACAGGCTGCCGTGGGTCTAGTGGTCATGTTGTTATCGCCTAAATCGTTCATAAAATGAGCTGCCATTCAAATATTTCAGTATTATCTGGCTTTTCCCACCCCGCAAATCTTTGTTTTTGAAGTATGGTGTGTTCAGGAAGTTTCAGCTAACTTGAGGAACTTACTGCTGGGCTGTTCAGTTAATTATGCTGGTGTTGTTAATAATATACACTAATGTTGCTTGTCTGCATTCCATATTCTTCTTGCATTTTTGGAATATGTTTTCTTTTGGAAAGTGGTTTAATATTCAGAAACTGATTGCAAAGTCTTGTTTTGAGATATGATCCTGAAACCCCTTTTCTGTGTAAGTGGTCCCACTTACTGGATTAAGTTTTTGTAGTTTTATGTCCTGGATCTGTATTTGAGGTTCTGAATTGCACACAAAGCCGTAGGAAGTGGTGGAAAATCAGTGAGGGAAGAGCAGGGGAGTCAGAGAATAATGGAGTAGGAGAATAACTGCACACTGCTGTTGAAATAGAAGTTTCATAAGTAAGAAAACAGGGTTTGCTTCTTGTATTTTCTCTTCCTCTTTCTTACCTTCCTACTTTGCCCTCTTCAGCTTTTGTTTCAGTGCATTACTTTGTACTAGTACAGATTTTGCAGGTCAGTTGTTAATCTTAAGCTTTTTTTTGTCTGTCTGTCTACTTGTCTTTGGGATGACTGTGCCTAATGGCAACGGGACCAAAGGTGTAACTGCAGTGGAAGTGAGTTCTCTATGGTTTAGAAGCTGCGCGTATGGATGACTTAAAAACTCACTTAATTTTTTTCTCCTTGTTCCAGATGGAAGAGTTCATGGTTTCTGGTTTGCATAATAGCAGAGGCTGAATACGCATAAAGGAGACTATAGTGCGGGTGAGAAGTGTCAAGCCCCTTGCAAGGCTTTGCTCTGTATAAAAGAAGAAATGAATCCTACAAACGATGATCAAGTGTTTGGGACAATTTTTGACTGGGACTATCTCTTATGGGAAGTTCGTTTGACATTTTTAGCTGCTGGTTTTTTAATCTACTTGGGAGTATTTCTTCTGTCTCACTGGTTGTCTTCATGGATAAGTAGCACTTATCGTGCCTTGTATGCAAAGGAGAAGGTGTTTTGGAATATGGCGGTCACACGTGGTGTGTTTGGACTTCAGAGTTGCGTTGCTGGGTTATGGGCTTTGCTCATAGATCCTGTTTTTCATGCTGACAAAGTGTATTCACAGCAGAAGTGGAGTTGGTTTAACTGTTTAATAGCGGCTGGATTTTTCTTGCTTGAAAATGCAGCTGTTCACATGTCCAACGTTATTTTTAGAACATTTGATGTGTTCTTGGTAGTTCATCACTTGCTTGCTTTTGGTGGCTTGGCTGGTCTAGTAATTAATGTGAAATCTGGACATTATCTGCCTTTGATGGGAATGTTGCTGGAGATGAGTACTCCCTCAACATGCATTTCCTGGATGCTTCTAAAGGTAAGAACGTGGTAATTCTCAAATTATGTTTGTAACAGTTTTCATGCATCTCGCTTGTCCATAGGTAATCTTGTGTGGTTTGTCTAGATAGCTTTTCAGCAAAACTGCGTTCATCTAACTGATGATATCCATGATAACCTGCTGATGATATCCATGTGATAACCTGCTTTTGTCGTGATGATATCTCTATAGTCCTCCATATAGGTTTCTGTGTGATGCTGTGTGCATGTGGATAGTGAGATGGTATAGATTCATTCTGAGTTTGGGATGCCATATGCATGTGGAATATCATAGGTTTACATGGAAAAAATGCCTGGGAGCATGTGTACGTGAAAGCTGGATATTTGCATTAGTTCTACAGATTCCTCAGTTCCTTATCTCGAAGTAACAATCTCACTTCTGCATACTTTCTGTTCTTGTTTTTCTAGGCTGGCTGTGCCAATACCTTCTTCTGGAAGGCAAACCAGTGGGTGATGATCCACCTGTTTCACTGCCGCATGATTCTTACTTACCACATGTGGTGGGTGTGCATTTTCAATTGGAATTCTGTGATGGAAAATCTGGGACTTCTTCATTTTATTGTTTTATTCTCGGGATTATTTGCTGTTACACTAATACTTAACCCATACTGGACATACAAAAAAACTCAGCAACTCCTCAGCCCAACTGACTGGAACTTTGAAAATAAAGCCATGGAAAATGGAACATTAAATGGTGAAACACATCAAAAGAAGAGCATATAACACTGAAACAGCTGTTTCCTAGTAAGATAGTGGGAGAATACAATGCGAAGTAATTCTTTGCCCATGAACTAGAAACTTTTGCAAGAAGCTCATTAACACAGTGATTCCTTGCTGGTAGTATTCTGTATGCATCAGAAGTATTTAAAAGCGTTGTTTGTGTTTCATATGTGCATACACATAAGATCTTCAACTTCTTAGTAATGAATTACCCTAACAGTTTTGTAAGGTAGGACAGTATTTCATGATTTAGTAGTGACATGCTCTCTAATGGTATCCTTTGTCCTAATGCTTCAAAGTGGCTTTACAGTTAATTTGTCTATTAAGCTCAGCTTGAATCAAGTTTAGCTTGAATCGTATTTCTCATGTGGTGGAGATACTGATACTGGAAATTATGTTAAGTTATTTATTAAGATCAATTACGACCCAAGTTAGGTATGCATGGGTACCTAGTTCCTGTGTGCCATTAAATCATTCCAAGTGGCTGAATTGGTCACGTGGCAGAATGCAGTCATGGCTGGGGTTTGGGTTGTTTTTTTGGTTCTTTTTTTTTTCTTTTTTCTTCTAAGTGCACTTGAGGAAGAGGAAGATAATTGTTTGAGTGTTCACTGTCGAAGTGAGCTGTAGTTTCCAGGTTGCCCTCAGTATGGTAGGAGTTCATATCCACCACAAACTTTCATGTGGGGATGCAGGTATTCGTTAAGACACGTGGTCTAGCTAGGTAATCATAGTGGTTCTTTCTGGACTTTAAATCAATGAAATGTAAGAGGCAACAACAGAATGTTTGGCTCTGTTTCATCCTTGAAAAGATTGCTGGTTGGTTGATAAAATTATTTTCTTTGTAGGTCCCACATGAGTGGTCATGCAATTAGTTCCACTAGTCCTCCTGTTATGGTTCCTCTCATTTTTGGAAATTCTCTTAGTTTTAGAATCTGAGGTGACTCCACTGTGGAGGAAAGCCCATATCACCTCCTTTAGGAGTTCAGTTGTTCTTTTAGTATTTTTATTTTACTTAGAATAACATACAAAGTGACGCTAACAATCCTTTGCACTTTATCTGCCACATCACTAAATCTTTCCTTGACGTAAGGAATAGGGTTGCTTTTTAGATAGGGGCTTGGCAAATTGTGGTGGATGTTCTCCCAGTAATAGTCTTGGTCTGACGGTTCCTGGGTGAGATGTTGGACAGTGGACGAAGGTATAAAGATCACGATAGAAGACAGTGACGCCTAGTGGCAGGAGAGCCACAAAGATACTAATTAGTTTTGGTGCACTGAACTACTGAGATAAAAAGCCTGTCGTTTGAAACTTTGTCGTATATTGTGACGTGACTGCTGCAAAGATTTATTTTCCAAAGTAGTAAGACTGGGAAAGCCCAAGCTGTGAAGAATTTTAGGTCAAGGCATGTGTTAGAGGCTTTGTGTACTGATCGGTGGTGGAGCACATTGTTTTAAATGTGTAAGGGAAGCTCTGTTTGCTGTAAACAAGCCCATTTTATTAATTTTTGGTGGGAATGTCTGATTTTGTTCTGAGCGAAGGGAGGAAGCTAGTGTTCAGGTTGCTGTGTGCCCTAACTCACTTTGTGTGAGCACAGAGTTGAAGAGCTGCTCTATGAGGGAGAGGAAACTTCTTACTATGAGGTCACAAATGTATAGCCAGATCTTGTTGATAATGATGAAGTGGTGAATATCTGAAATTGCCCATTCACTACTAGGCTGAGAGGGTCATAGTAATTTTACACAGCAATCCTATCTGTTATCCTGCTGATATTCAATAGAGAAAATCTAAATTTTGTGCTACCTTCCTATTTCTAAGCAGGCCAGAATGAGGTTGCAGTGTTTTGGCAGTGTCACCTCTCTGGATGCCATCCTATAGAAAAAAGCGTTCTCTAAAGCTTGAAATTGCGTACCTCTCCTGAGGGGCTGTGTGGGGGAGAGTAATGTTAAAAGTATTTTAGAAGAAAGCAGAGGGATGAATTCCTCAGAAACAGAACCCAAATATGTGATCCAAATGTATATCATGCAGAATCCAAACCTCACTTGGGGGGGAAGGCAGAGGATAAGTCACCAGATATCAAAATGATGGTGTGCTCTATGCAGCTTAAAACCTAAAGGTTTGGATTCGATAAGACAAGGTAATAATTATAAAAATCCCAGCTACAGAATTCTGAAGAATCCTAAGAGAAAACAGAAGCATCAGAAGAGAATAAGTTTGGGCCAAGTGTGTAATTCTTACAGTGGCTGGCTAAAGGAGGTGAAGTTTCTATGTGCTAAAATAAAAGAATTTGGAGGGTTGGGGTTAGTAGTGAATTTGAGACTGAAAAAAGAGATTAGGTGTGGTACAAGCAGACAGGTAGATAGTTATGTCAGTGGCACCAGACTTCAAAGTTTAATATTTTGTATTGTGTAATGTTATTAAGTGGATTTTAAATCTTTCATTAAAAGTATTTTTTACCATAATAAGGCAATCTTTTTAGTATGCATCTTAGTGTGAGTTTTTTCACACAAAGACTGTTATGGCATATCTCAAATCTTTTGCATGTCTTAACTATATAATTAATAATACCTAAAAGCACCTGTTAACCTGGATACTGCTAGAACAAGAGAGCTATGCAATAAAGCAAATAACAGCACTCATTTTATTTCTGTTGTTTTGAGGGGCAAGGGGATTTTACAGTCCAGCTAGAAATATAACAGGACATAAAAATACAGACAACCTTTCTTCTTCATCTTGATGGCCTAGAGTGGAGTTACTAGTTCTGTTACACAGAGCCTCTCTTTTTTTTTTTTTTTTTTTTTATACTCGAGTGTTTTCTTCACTGCCTTTTGGCTGCTCCCTTCAAGAGGATTTTCTGGTTTATGATTGTGGATGACTGTCTCATTGCTCTGAAAATGACTTAAAAAGCTCTCTAAGTGTGGGGTTTGGTGTCTAATTACTTTTACAACTAAGTGCTGCTTTTCAACCCAAAGGTAGACTAGCCATAGCTTGTTTATAAATTTTGTTAATGTGAAACTAATCCCAGTCCTCTTGGGCCTCTTTTATAAGGCCTCATCGCAATCCGATGTAGAAAAGTTCACAGTCAGCTTCAGTAGTGGCTGGGTCTAGGTCACAGGGTGTGCTGCTGCTGTGATTTGGAAAACTCTTGCATAGTATGTTTTTGGGTGAATTTTTTGTTTGCCTAGGTGACTATTGGAGACTTCATCCTGCTTTCTTGTTGGACAAGCTTATTCAAGGAGTGCTGTTTGTGTCACCTTTCTGGCTGAAGCTTTTTTTAAAAAAAAAAAACAAACAACCTACAACCCAAAACAAACAACAAACTATGATGGGCGTGGGGGTGTTTGGTAGGTTTTTTTTTGTTTTTTTTTTTAAAAGAAAAATGTCTGATCTAAGACACCCTGGCCAGGCATCTGGTTCTTACTGTCTTCAAACAGCATTCCTAAATCACAGTTTGTGTTTGCCTCCATTTGTGTCCTGTCTTTATGTTTTTTCCAAAACCTGTCATCGTTTCCCCTCCCACCTACCAATTTTTCTATAATATTTACTCTTACTTGCAGTACTGGTCATGATCTTGCAGCAGTCACATGATGACGGTGATGTCTTTGTCTAATAGTTTTCAGCACGTACTGTTGGGCCCTTCTTCCACTAAATACTCATGTCCAAATCTTTCAGGTTTTTTTGCTTTTTCCTGATAACACTGATTAAATATTGATGTCATGTACAATTATAAGACACCTTTCTTAACCTCAGGGAGACTCCCACTTAAAGTGAATTTAAAAGTGTTAAGCAAATTCAAGTCTGCTCTTGTACAATATAACGGTTGTTGAATGGTACAGCACCTTTACACTGTGTACATAAATAAAAGTATTTTATTGAATAATTGTCTACCGTGAGTTTCATTTACTGATGAAAATAATGCCTGTTATTTTTCACTTGCTATTTGTAGCTTAAACAGTTTTTGCAGTGCATGCACTAAAAAGGTGACTTGTTTATTTTGAAATATTGTGTTAAACTTGACAAAGGTAATGTCATATCCATGGAAATAGCTATAAAACCTTGTAAACTAATGTCCCTTCACCAACATTTAACACGTTATTAACATGAGCATGTTTAGTTACATGACAAAAACACTAGAAGCTGCGCTATATGTAAGTATGTGTTAAAAAGCATCACTTGGAAATGACCCTTCTGGCTTGTGTATTTGAAGTGTGTGGTCTATTTTTGCATTAGGCTCTAACTGTGAAGACACTTCATGGTTTAGTATGAGCCACCTTACATTTTTTTTTTTAAATTTGTCTCGTTGCTAAATAACAAAATACAATTCTAAGCATTGAATGTGTCTTGCATGGCGCTTTGCAGGAATTAATTCCTGATGATTTTTAGCATTAATGAGTTAAAGGAAAATAGCATCATTACTGGCATTTTAATTATTCTTGTAAGAATGCACTGTGTAAGCAACTGGCTGGCGTAATTTTGCTAGCTGCCTCTGCAGTGAAGTCCCCAAGATTAATTGAAGCAGAAGTAAGACGTTCATGTGTAAAGCTCCACTAACTATGGAATGTGTGTGGGTACAGACTGGGATGAGAAAAACAATACATTAGAGTATTTGTATGAATAAAGTCCTTTTTTTTTGTAAATAATCTGTAAAAGGAATTAAAATGTTATTAATGTTTTGCTATTTAGATGTTTTCAACTAATAGGTAAATATATTTTATTTAGTAGTTCTTACCATATTCCCAGAAAAGTATGAGAACATACTTACGCTGACAGTGTTATTCAGCGATTACAATCTTTGATCTTGTGTCATGGCACTGGTATTTAAGTTGATAATTCGGAACAAAAAATAAGTGATGGTCATCAATTAAGTAAATTATGCCTGTTGCTCTAGTTGTCAGCCTCCAGATGGGTTTCCAGTGTTGGAAGAGACATTGCATGCTCTGGATCTGATTGACTAGTTAGTGTGTTCTGCTAGTGGTAGTGCCACAGAGCAGAAACAAGTGTTCTTGCAGCACATTGTGCCTTCCTGTTTCCCCTAAGTGAAACAGTGCTGAGGGAGGTGGAATGACAAAGGTAATGATGCAGCAAACGTGCAGGGACGTACCAGTGTTCAAGGTGGCAGACAGGCCTAGCTTGAAAGGAAAGGAGTGGGGCCTGCGCACATGTCCACAACGAAGAAGCAAGGGAATCGGCTGTGCCGTTGCTTGCTGCTATCTGTGTGTGTGAATGCTCTGATGAGTCATGTTGGGTGGCTTCTGAGTCCTTAAGGATATGACCTGAGCCGAGAGAGTGGAAATTTAATACTAGCTTTATCAGATAAAGGTCATATTACTTCTGGTCTGAAATATTTATTTCCTCATATGATTCTCTTTTTAGCTGCCTCTACTCCTTTGAATGCTTAGTTCACATTAGAGTGCTGTATAAGCTGACACTGTTCTAACCAATATGTTCTCTGACATCTACTGTAAAGACTTGTGAGGATGTGCCTTGTTTTAGTACTGATAATTGATTGTGGCAGCTCCAGGTACTCACTCGGCCTGACTTCTGTGTTGCTATAGCTATGTAGCTCTGCAGCTTTCCTCTCCTGCTTTGCTACTTCTGCTGCCAAAAGCGCTTTACTGTGTGAACACTGCATTTCGTCACCAATGCTGTGCTCACTGAAGTTTAAGCATGGGGCTTGCGCTGACTGGGGGGAAAAATATACCTGAGAAAGGACTAATTTTGTAGAAGGTAAGAGGGTGGACTTTCCTGCATTTCTGGACCGTGCAGTTCTACTGTCAGGATCTTAAGAGTAAATCAAGGTGATAACTACGATACTTTGAAAAACAAAGTCATGCAGGCAAACCACAAAACTACAGAGAAGTGGTTTGCGTAGAGTAGACATGGAGCATTTAACAAGAGCTTGATCATCTTGTCTTGTGGGTCATATTTACAGGAAGAAAGTGTATCCTGGAAAAGCAGCAGCAGCCTTGCTTTGGAGTAATAGGAAATATGAAAAAAATGAGGAGGCTTTGGGATGAGGTAGCCGAGACTGGTTGTTACATTGTACAGTGCTGACCAGGTTGCAGTTGGACATTGGATATGTAGATTGTCTGATGCTTTAACTCTTCTTTTTTTTTTTTTTTCCTCAGCAACATATTGTTTTAAGTATCACTGCGACACTGGTTGAGGGTAAGTTTGAGGACCTTTTTTTAGGACATCAAAGTTCCCAAGCAATGTATTGCCCAAGGCTGAAGGAGCCTACAGTGTGTTCTAATTAGTAGTAATTTATTCTTGTATTATCATTGCCTTTTTATCTTACATAATTATTTTTTACCCCTGGAGGCTCTTTTGCATATTCATGAGCACAAATCAATCTGCTCTTTTATTTTCCTAGCCATCCTAATACTTTTTATTTGCCACTTTTCCCACTTTAATTCCTTTTTCTTAAATGTTGGCAGTGTAGAGCTGTACATAGTATTTCATATAAAGCCTTCTCAGTACCTTGTATTACACTAGTAATTCCTTTCTGCCACTGGAAATAGCTCTGCTTCAGCCCAAGGTTGCGTTTGTCTTTCACAGTTGCAACGCTACAGGCCTGGGGAAGAGTGACTGGAAAGCTGCCTGTCGGAAAAGGACCTGGGGGTGTTGGTCGACAGCCGACTGAACATGAGCCGGCAGTGTGCCCAGGCGGCCAAGAAGGCCAATGGCATCCTGGCCTGTATCAGAAATAGTGTGGCCAGCAGGAGTAGGGAAGTGATCGTGCCCCTGTACTCAGCCCTAGTGAGGCCGCACCTCGAATACTGTGTTCAGTTTTGGGCCCCTCACTACAAGAAAGACATTGAGGTGCTGGAGCGTGTCCAGAGAAGGGCAACGAGGCTGGTGAGGGGTCTGGAGAACAAGTCTTATGAGGAGCGGCTGAGGGAACTGGGGTTGTTTAGCCTGGAGAAGAGGAGGCTGAGGGGAGACCTCATCGCTCTCTACAACTACCTGAAAGGAGGTTGTAGCAAGGTGGGTGTCGGTCTCTTCTCCCAAGTAACTAGCAATAGGACGAGAGGAAATGGCCTCAAGTTGCGCCAGGGGAGGCTTAGATTGGATGTGAGGAAAAATTTCTTTACTGAAAGAGTGGTGAAACATTGGAACAGGCTGCCCACATGGTTTAGTGGTGGACTTGGCAGTGCTAGGTTAATGGTTGGACTTGATGATCTTAAGGGTCTTTTCCAACCTAAATGATTCTATGATTCTGTGACCTTAGTGCTTCATGGTCCTCCTGTGACAGTGAATTCATTCAAGTTTTTCCCTTCCTCAGCTTCAGAATGAAGCAGAGCCATCAGAGCGCGGTGAAATAACCAAAAGTAGCAATTTTGTGTTATAAAAATAACTTGTGTATATTACTGTACGGGGTGCAGGTGCCCAAGTGCTGGCAGCGGTGGCTGCAGGATGGCCTCTGTGAGGAGAGGCTGGGGCTGCCCCGTGCTGGACACAACCGGTTCCAGCCGGCTCCAACTGACCCACTGCAGGGCACGGCTGAGCCCAGCAGCCAAGGTGGTGGAGCCTCTGGGGAAGCATATGTAAGAAAGGGCAAAAACATGACACAGGCAAAATGAGGAGTAAGGAAAAAAGTGAGAGAATCAACTCTGCAGACAGGGAGGGAGAGGAGGTGCTCCAGGTGCCGGAGCAGAGATTCCCCTGCAGCCACTGGAGGATCCCATGAAGGAGCAGGTTTATCCTGAAGGACTGCAGCCTGTGGGAAGGACCCACGCTGGAGCAGGGGAGAAATCTGAGGAGGAAGGAGTGCGGAGAGGAGCTGTTATGGACTGACCACAACCCCCATTCCTCATCCCACCATGCCCCTCGGGGCGGGGGAGGCAGAGGAGTTGGGAATGAAGGAGTGAAGTTGAGCCTGGGAAGAAGGGGGTGTGGGGAGTTTTTTTTACTTTTGTCTTTGTTTCTCACCATCCTACTCTAATTTTAATTTGCAATAAATGAAATTTCCCCAAGTTGAGTCTGTTTGCCCCCTGACAGTAGTTGCTAAGTGATCTCCCTGTCTTCATTTTGACCCACGAGCTTTCCATCTTATTTTCTCCCCCTGTCCTGTTGAGGAGAGGGAGTGAGAGAGTGGCTGGGTGGGGGTCTGGCTGCTGGCCAAGGTCAACCCACCACAGTAAGTTATGGCATTGGCTGTACTATTGTTTATGTGCCACCCATGACAACAAGGAGCTGATGTAACACAAGGACTCTGGTGCTGAGGAATACTAAAATTTAGGAAAATCTGTACCTAGTCTGTCTGAATTGGCAATCTGAGAATTTGACTTGCAAAGACTCTTCGTAAGCAGAGAGTTTTTAAAGGCGTTCATAAGACAAGTTCTGGTGCTGGTAAAACATCACAGTATTATAAAACTCAGTTGTCAGGTTAACTGTACTGATATGCTCAAAATTGACAGACTGTCTCCCAGTAGTGGTGCTGGTGCTTCAGGGAGACCTGGAAGACAGGCCAGCAGTAGGCATCATATCAGAACACGAATGAGCAATGCTTTTATAAAACCAAATGTTATTTTGATGTAATAGTCTGAATTTAAGAAAGCTGTGTGGTTTGCCTTTTTAAAAAAATTATTTTTTATATATGTAAAAATTTAAAAAAGTATTGTCACTCAACCTTGTTTGGTAAGGGAAGTAGAGGGCACGTGTAACTTTACAAGGCTCCAGCATGAGTTCTGCAGATGCTCAAGTTAAGCAAGGCCATTGGATGTCCTGGCTTTGAGTGGTTTCTGAAGGATTACAGTAAGCCGATGACATACTGTCTTTGTGGGAGACATCGTAGAGAACAACAGGAGAAACAATTTCTGAATTTCCAGTGGATGAAAACTCCCTAAGAGAAAGTGCCAGCTACATCAGCTGGTA